AGGAAAAGTTGTGTATTTTAGCTTGGTACGCTAGCTAACTCGCTGAAGGCTGGTTTAATTGAGAAAGGCAAAGAGCTGCAGGAATATACTGAGAAGCACAATATTCATTTTGTCACCGATAAAGGATTTAGCAAAAAGGAAGAAGTTACAGAGGACGGCACCAAGAAGAAATGACGCTTCTTATAGTTCTATATAAATTTTGTGTTACGCAGATACGCTGCAAATTCCAAGCCCAAATATGTGCCAAGGTATATCATGCAAAATCATAGATGATTTGTTTTCTCCGTGTTTTTTGCTTCTTTTCTGTAAGGCATAAACAAAGCACCATTCGTTTGAGTCCATCTTGCCAAAAATTCTGACTTAAAAACTCTAAATCCAAAGAATTCCGCCATATCCTGCGATAATCAACCTGATTTTGTGTGAAAGGATTCTCTGGCAATTCTCCTCAAAGCCAACTGATTTTGGACTGCGAAACTAGAGCAGCAAGTTGGCGAGAGTGGGAAGATAGTTTTCAATCGAAATTTCAGAAAAATCCATTTTTTCTTGGGGCTTCCGGGAAAATCCAATTTTTCCGGGAACTCCATGGATTGAACAACACTCTTTCCTTTGAATACGGATTTTCTCTCTTCGCATTCATAATGCTTGTCTGTTTGTCTGCATGTAAATATAATGTTTGTTGCACTGAGTGTTGTTGCTGACAGTTTAAATTTCAAGCTGTTTTATTGGATGTTGGATTTTCAGCATGCTTTCTCAGTGCAGCCTTCTGTATGTTGGCAGCACACTTTTTGTTGTTAAAAGAAGTCGCGCTGAGTCGTACTCTGAAAAATTTAGAGGGCTAACATGAGACAGTTAGTGCATTCGAACTTATGAAAAGCAGCTAGAGAAAACTCTGAATTTTTGATTCGTTCGGAGAACAGCACAGAACTGAAATTCATCGTGTCCGCTTTTGTCCCCTACTTTCATCACTCGGGCAACAAAGATTCATCGAACTGCTCATCATCAAAGGTGTCTGTAACTTCGCCGTCTGGTCGGCGAATCCCAGTTCGCGGTCTTGGTGGTGCCGGTCCAAGAGGATCACTGTACGAGTAATCTGCTGGACCTGAAAATGCAACTACTGAAATCTGAACGGACATAAAATCCGCTGTGTTTTTGCAAGCAGCGGCATAAATTTTTTGAAAGAACTAGAAATTAAGGATTACTCATTTCTCGTCGTGGCGCGTGATACGGCTCGTCGTGGTCCAATGCGATTCGACCGCTCGATGTGCGTAGTAGCGAACGTGTGTTCGGCCTTCCGTCTGAAAGCAGTGAAATAATGAAAGGCGTTGAATTTGTGGAACCCCTTCCCTTCGTTTGGGCCTCATTTGTCATATTCGGGCTCCTTTCCAAAAGGAGGACTAATGCCAGCTTTGATGGAAAGTGCTGTGGAGCAAAGAATGTTTGGAGTATCTCTTCGTGACCATATAAACAAGCACACTCTTCATTAGATTAGTGGCGTGCGGAATATAACAGTAACCATGTGAAAAAATAAAATCCCATTTGCGGCAAAGTAAGATCCCTTATCGGTAACTGGTAGGCGTCGCATATCAGTGAGGAAGTAAACGACTATTCGGATGATCCCGAACAGGTAGCGCAATACACTGAACCAGTGGTGAGTAATAACTTGTGCAGTCCAGCGTAATACTTTGGTATGGCTGCGCGAGGCGCATGAGGGCGCCCCGGTAACACCGCTAATATGAGGTTCGCAAAACCGATTGTTCAGAGCAATCTCGCTGATGATTCGAAACTGCTTCCGACAATCGGTTTAGAGATCTCAAGAGTATTAGTGACGTTACTGGCAGTTCAGGATTGGAACGGGACTGTGGCAGGTGCAATGGGCATCAGGGGAGCATTACCGATCACTTCGTGCTCAGCAAATTGTTTCTTCACTTGGAATCAGTAGAACGAAAGTAGCTGATACATCATGGCACAAAGTTTGCATATGCAGCATGGAATCGAACTTCACTCCCACTACTGCTACGGCATGAACGCCGCTGCGCCAGCGATGCGCATCCAGGAACTGTCCTGGATGATAGGCTTCATACAGTAATAGCCACCAAAAGAGTGCATCTTGTCCTTTCCCTGTGTTTGCGTAGAAATTTTTAGGTGAGGTGCTGCACGAGCCTGAGGGAAGTGCCCCAGAGCTAGTTTACTTCCAGAATGAAGAAGTTAAATTGCTTGGGCGAAGTGTTCTTGGTTGGATTCTTTTTTCCGATATCACCAATCCTTGTCTAGCAGTTCCTTTACCGAGAACAAAATAGCGTTTCGATTGCTTAAGTCTTCTGAAATAACTCCCAGGTATTACTAACAGTTTTGCTTACGGAATAAGTGCAGCTGGAAAAGCATCCTCACTTCGCCACAAACAAGCTTCTACTGGTACGTATACGATCTACCTGAAGATATGTGAGTTCGTTAAGGCACCAGTGAGTCTGTGAGAGTTCGTTAAGGCACCCAACTGGATTCGTGATCAGAAGTAGTTTGAGTCCAAAACACAATGCTTTTATACATAGATTCACTGAAGTTCCTTTTTCAGACTTTGGTATACTCTGATCGGCTATATTTCATGGCTTAGTGCCCCTCCTGACATGAACTAAGATCTCAAGATGGAATATGATCTGAGTCGTGGCAGTGTAGCTTTGTTTGCTTTATTAACAGTGCTGCGTTGTTTGATAGTCTACTGTAATTTAAAATTAAATTTCCATAGTTGAATTTTCAAATTATTATTCGAAATTAAATTCTCGCAATTCGGTATTAATTTCCCGATTATTCGAATGCAAAAATCAAATTTCCATAGCTGAAGAATTTCTCTTTCTTCAGCGGATTTTTAAAACAGAAGTTTCTGTCAAAGGAAGAATAATATGAAACTGCGGTTGTACAAGCACTTTATACATGAAAATATTGTAGCATTCCTCACTTACGCTGCACGCTCAGATCTACCAAACTGCGGTTCATGCTATTATTTAATTTAAAATTTACCAGTTTTGATAAATGAAAGAAAGAACAGACGTGAAGCGCTGGCTGGTAGACTATGTGCTGACGGTGCGGAACGTTTCCCCTGACTGGAGTCCACTTCACGTTGCATTCGTAGCTGTCGAACTTTTTCTGTTTTTGACAGCTGAAAATCGAGGAAATCCATACAGTTTTATTTACAAATCTACAAATTGATACAATTTCATTGCATAATTAGAAAGAATCGAGTGTATTGGTATAAATAATGATGAAATATTATAAAACGTTTTACGAGAAAATGTATTATACTTGAAAATTCTATAAAACTAAAGATTTTTATGCGTTTTTGCTGTGCAGCGCTATAACAGCGCGCTGCTACAGCCAGCAAAAACGCATATTGTCGAGAGGCTGTCTGTGTATGTGTGTGTTCGGAAAGCGAGTGCATTTTGT